AAGTGCTTTTTTCGGGAGGGGAAAATGTGGGAGGACAAGTAATTTTTGGGACGTGCGTCTCTCCACCCACCCCTCCCCCGGTTCCCAGGCAAAGCTTGAGCCTCATCCGAATGCAAATTGTTAGCTCAAAATAGGAAATTTTAAAGTAAGTCATACACTCGCACAGGCTGTTGTTCGCACAAGTGAATCTTTTTTTCACTCGAACTAGCATCCACTCGAAGTGGCATTCACTCGAATTGACTGGTTCCACAGCTAGTTATGCCACAGACATGTTGGTGAATAAAATATGATTTTTAGGTTAAAATTTCAATGACAAGCTAGGGCCTATTCATCTTAAACACAGCAATGTTATTTGATATTTTGTCTTTCAAAATATCCAACTTATCTGTTAAAAAAACGCCGTGGCTAGAGATACGGTACCGTATTTCTACTTCGTTTTGCTAAATGTACGGTAAACGGCAATACGTCACCATCACCCAATGAAATGCCAGAATGTGCGTGACGTCATTTTTTGAAGACTGGCATTGCATATCACCCGCAATGAGCGGTGGAAGGAGAATGATCCGATTGTACAGTACTGGGAAATTAGAACATCAAAAGTACAATATTGTTTGACTTTTACTGTCATCAAATAGGCGTATGGTTCCACTTTATAGTAAAAATAGGTCTGTATATAATTGATAGTCATTGTCAAATTTGCTACTTAATTTGATTTGCTACCACAGTGGATTTATTTTGCTCCGCCTAGGCCTAGGCTATATAATGAGTAACATCGCTGATCACAGGGGCGGATACAGGATCTGCTGCATTATTTTTTATTCCCATACAATTAGGGCAGAAATTATAGAGGGCACTATTTAAGGTCAGTTTAGTGAGCTGTTAAATATGAATATATAAGCATATTTAATAATAATTCTGTTTACCCTTTAAATTATTTATACATAATAATACATTCCAGGCCTGATAATTCATTGCACAATATAGTGTACTCTGTTGAAATTTTGGTACGACTCGTTCAAAATAATGTGCGATGTTATCCACGGCAGAAAACGATGACCAGATGCACTCTTAAATATGATATTATTATATTCCCTGATCCAGGGGTGGCGAAATGGGTGATCGCCACCCCTGGCAGCAGCGACCGCCACATCCTCTCCTTACTGTATATTATAAAAACCAGAAAGGGCCCTATTCAGATCAGTTTGAAAGAGCTGATATGCATGAATATGCATAAGGGAGCCTCGCTTTTTTTTTATATAGGCCTACCATAATATATTTTAATTGCAAGGTTATTCCCAACTATTATATCGGAACAAATTATAGACAATAAATCAATGGATAGAAAAAGCAATTTAAAGAATGAAATAATGATAATATATATCATATCAAAAATACTAGTGTACAATTATAGGCCTACTATTTGTAGTCCTATTCATAATAAAGTACAGTGATCGCCAATAAATACTCAACATATACGATGAATATCAGAATTTAGTGCAGTAGGCTAAGCTAGGGTGGCATTATTTTTTCCCCATTTATTTTCATTCATTCTCTGTAGGTCATTTTGAAAACAGACATTGGGCCTGGGTGTAGAGGAATGGCGTTTTCGGATACGGTAGCCATTTTTTGGCCTAAATTATTGTTGCTCAGCTTCCAAAATAAAAAAACCAAAAAAAAAACAACACTAAAATAAATGTATGTGTTTAGATCAGATTATCATACAAGCATATACAAGCGACTGCACACACACACAGTAGATCTTGACCACTAATTAGGCTATGTTCATGTAAAACTGTTTACGCTAATTAACTTTAATTTATGTTCTACTGAATGAGCTGTTCTTGTTTGATTCTGTTTGTCACTTCCTTGTTGTCTTTATTGTAATTAATTTATTTGTATCGTACCAAATCCATTTTTAAATATATATAACAAATATAAAATATAATTGAAAATGAGACTTAAAGAAAATAATAAATACAAGGATGTGTATAAGAGACAGATTTAATTGCACGCAAAAATTCAGAGACTGATATTTTCTTAGTTTGTTCTATGCTTTTCCATGGTAACGTCGAGTCGTTATCACTGGGCGCCGTACAAAGGGTACGGCTATGCATAACTTGGCCCGCAGCAAGATCAACGACCCTTAATAGTCAATTTCCATAGCAGCAGAACCGTGGGACTGTTCCTATAAATAGTTCTAGAAGAAGCAGGTACTGGCATTAAATTGCGTTTATCCTGTCACTACGAATTTATTTCTCCATGCTCATGGCAACAATATGAGTTTGGCCTGGTTATAACACTGGGCGGCGTACAAAGGGTTTGAACTATGCATAACTCGGCCGGCAGCAAGATCAATGACACGTACACTTTGATTCAGTCTGTATTTCCATAGCAGCAGAGCGTGGGAATGTTCCTATGAAAAAGCAATATACTGGCATTAAATTGCATTTATCCCGTCAATATTCATGGCAAAAACATGAGTTTGGCCTGATTATAATACAGTATAAAAGTGTATAGGAAATTTCAGTGGGTTTCGAGTCTTGGTATTCGACATTTCGGTTTTAAATTTTACAGAATAGCTCAATAAAAAAATGACAGAATATAGTATTAAAATTAATTCATAATAATGAATGAAACTTATGACAAAACATAGAAAAGAGACTCGTCGATAAATTACAATACATCAAAATCACGAGATAAACCGATGCAAACAAGTAGAACAAAAACGTCGGAAATCGAACCCTAATTCTCGAAATGGAATCGTCCAACATTTTTGATCAGAATCTTGAAACACTCGTCGGCAACGCGAAGAGATTATAATCCCCAACCACGCGTTGTAGACGGGTATACGCGTTGCTTTATTTTGCGAGGCTCCCTAAACGTTCTAAATGAATCATAATAAATATCAATAGAATTATCTTTATCAACAAGAGAATTATAAAATTTAGGTAATCGAACAAAAAAACTAAATTTAGTAGCATTAACACGAGAAAATTTAACATTAAATAAGGAACTGATAGAATTACGACATCGATAAGTTTTAACAGATAAACCAAAAATGGAAATAAGATCAGAACCATAAACTCCATTAACGCAATTATAAAAAAAGAGAGAATCAAGGTAATTTAGTCTAGAACTTAAAGTAGGAAGAATGATATAATTGGAAGGGATATTACAAGTACGAGAAACAAATTTAACAAATCGTTTTTGAATAATATTAATTTTAGTAAGGCATGTATTAAACATGCAGTTAAAAATAACAGAATTAAATTCGATATAAGGTCTAACAAGTGAACAATACAGATTAGTTAATGCTTTTTGGTTCTTAATATTCCAACAGTTGCATTTAATTAGGCCTAGCATTCTATTACTTCTGCAGCAAACCTCTTTTATATGCTCATTAAAAGTCAACTTAGAATCAATAGTAATACCAAGGTCACGGTGAAAATATACGACCTCCAAGACGTGGCCGTTAACATTATAATAGACCAGGAGCCCGGGGGTGTCAGCATAGCTGGAAAGTTAACCAATTTTTGTATGTAAACTAATGGTCTATGTGCTTGCCTATGTAGGAGAATGGGCATCTGCCAGTCCCATTGTGGTGGGTGTGGTCAGGAAGGGCATAAAGAAGGGTACCAAAAATTGAGCTAGATCAGCTTGTGAATTAACCCAATGAAACCTATCAGAATATATTCGGCATAGTTCAAGATATCATGAATGGTCAATGCCAGACATTTCCAGTGGTGGGGGGTGGCTGCCAGACGCAATAAACCGGTACCCCAAAATTAGGCTAGATCAGCTTGTGAGTTAACCCGACCAAACCAACTGGAAAATGTTCGGCATAGTACCAGGCATCATGACTGGCCACTGCCAGACATTTTTAGTGGTGGGGTGTACCCGCCAGACGCCCCCTTATACCCCACCCCAAAAATTGACCTAGATTATCTAGTAAATTTACCTGATGAAACTAACTGTGAAATGTTCGGCATTGTCCCTGGTATCATAAATGGCCACTTCCAAACAATTGTGATGGTGGGGTTTACCTGCCAGATACCGCTTATATCCCTACCCTTACCGAAAAAAATGTCCCCTGCCCACAAAAAAAAATGTCCTAGATAATATCTAGTGAGTTAACCTGATGAAAATTACTGTAAAATGTTCTGCGGTTGTCCCAAGTACTGCGTCATGAATGGCTTTATTAAAGACAAAATGAATGGCTTTAAAGACTAAATTTCAAAAGTTGCCTTTAGTTTCATCTAATAGCATTTATTACGCCAGAAATTAACCCACCTGGATAAACCCGCCTCTACTCAACATCTAGTTTCTCTATTTCACTGCCTTCTGGCCATGGGAACGTTTGGTCCTCGACACTGGACTGTCTTATTGGGTTTTTTTCTCGTGTTTCTTTGTTGGACTTTGTGATGTTTTGTCTTGTATTACCACCTTTTATTCACTCCATTTCATATGGATTTTAATGTGTATTGATGTATATTTTTGATGAATAAAAGTGGTATAGAAAAAAAATACATACACTATTCACACATATTTCTAATGAAAACTTTATATTGTTGATAAAGAATTAGTAAACTTCAAAAAACAAAACTAATTGAGCATCAGTACGTTCAGAGGAGTGTATCAATCAGGCCCGTAGCCAAATTCTTCCAAGGGTGGGGGGGGGGTTCTGAGCGTGGGATCCACAGTCGAAGCCCCGGTGAGGTAGGCGAAACCCCCAAAGCAAGAGAATTTTTGTGCTTTATGGGTCTAAATAATGCTATAAAAGCAGATATATTTGAAAGTGTCTGTCTGGGTGGGTCTGTAGTGCATTAGTTGGGTTAGAGGACTTATCTATAAAATTTAGAGAGGGAGTTTCGCTAGAAAAGAGGGGGTTTTCTAGAAAAGGGGGTTCTCCCGAACCATAAAACCGCCCTCCTCCCCCAGATATGGGCCTGTCAATGAATTAAACTTGGTCTGATTTTCTGATTTATTGTGAACCGCTGGATTGTCAATTGCTAAATCCTGCATTGCGCAGAATCTTTATTAATTTTCATGTACATCCTCTTCACTCCCCATTACACAACTGCTACACAGTTAATCCCCATCTTCCTCTTCTGATTCAGAGTCTTCACTCCATGCTTCACCATCTGAATCGCTGTCTGTTTCTGCTTGTTCTTCATAATCGCTATCATCTCTCAACTCTGTGTCATCTCTGTTGTTACTATGATTCGTAAATAGACTGTCGGGTATGGCTGGCCCTTCAAACCAAATTGGCTTCAAAAGGTTTTCATTCACAGACCATCCATAGTCAGTTGGTGACAAACTGTCACTTGGAGATGATGTTACTGCACGTGTCCACAATACTGTTATATACTGTGTACGTCGAATTTTCATCTCAAGGGTCCGACTAGATGGTGGCAGCAAAGCACAGTCTATCCGTTTAATGTTTGCCAGTGGATTCTCCTAGGAGTCAATGAAAGACATATGTGATTTAGTACACTAATCTCATAAATTTTATAATATTATACTTTACTATGTTATTAGACTTATGTGATAACTACCTGATCAACTTTGCCATTCATCTTGATTAATTTGTTGTATCGAGCTTCATTGACATCTTGAGTCTTGCTTTGTCCGTACATGCGGCAAACAAATTCTGATGCGACTTTCAGATCAATTCTACCATGCACTTCACCCATACTGATGAAAAGGTTAACATACAAGCCAGTCTTATCTTTTTCTAAGATGTCAAGAGGTTTCGTTTTGCCTTTTCTAAAAAAATTAAACAATTCCGCAAATGCATTTTCAGACTTTATTTTTCATAAAATGTTAGTCAGCTATATTGTCATATTATAATTACTGATTATTTCTGAAACGTAAATATATTGTGCATACCTGTAAAAGGCTGATGTAAAGTCGCATCCAGTAAAGGCATGATATCCTGGTAGTGCTCGAGAAAGTCCAGGTTTTAGCTCTTCAAGAACGTTTGTAATATTAGTCACGTTGATGTACCTTCTACTGTTCCCCATCCCACAGTCCATGATAACGAGGACTCTGGACCGGACCTCTTTGACGTTGCTGTCGATATTAGCTGCTGTGATATTTGCAATGTGAAAAGCAATAAGTGTATCAGCATCTTCATGGCCTCCTTGAAGGTGTGCTGGGCTAGTCACAGTAATGTGTTGGTGCTCATCGGGAATGTACTGGAAGCACTCGCCACCGTAAGAAGCAAACAATGTCTTTCCACTAAGTATATTCCAGTAGTGATCTTTTCCCCACTCTCAAGAGAAATTTAGCGAATTCGTTTTTAAACACTCCATTGCTAAGAGGTTTCTGTCCACTCTGTCTGATAGTCTGGTCCGGCCCAGTTATTACATATGAGGAATCAACAGCACCACGTAACTTTCTTTCACTGTCTTTTATAGAGTTTTCCACATACTTGTCTAGACAAACGTGTGCTTCACTAGCCCTCTCTGAACAGACAATTGACAGCATGGTCTGTGCAATTGATGCATATGATGCTCCAATATTTGTTTGTGAGAGAACAGAATGGAGGAGAAGGCCACCGTCATAAACATGTACATAACTCCTAGGTAACTCTTTCTCAGAGATTTTTTCCGTTTGAAGTGACTCAAGTTTTTTCAGCAGTGATGATTTCTCTGTTTTTACATGTGCCCCATCACAATGTGCAAGTGAAAGTGGGTATGGTGTTATAGGGTATGATATAATACTTCTAAGATCAAATACTGTCTTCTCCGCAACAATAATAATCATGCGTATAAACATGTCCCTCATGCTTTCAGCATTAGTCTTAGACTTTACTGAGGCAGGAAGTTTGGCTTTCCTTTTCAAATTCTGCTTTGCTGCCACACGTGTTCGTTTTACAGGTTGAAGAAATCGACTACTGCTCCTGTTCTATTCATCCTGAAATATCTCTCTTTTCTCCTCACCCCTTTTCAACACACTGATTAAATATGTTTCGGTATCCTTGGATGCTACTTGACCAGTTGCAACATTTACCAAAGACATTGGAGCATCATCCGCAAACGGATTGCAAAATTCATCAATTTTTGCACTTAGTGCATCCATGTGTACGTTGTCCCTTTTGATTCTTGAGGGGCGGCATTGAGCTGTTGCACTTTCCCCTATTTCAAGCCCAACATATGTTCGCAATTCAGTGACTGCCATAGCCCGCTGAGTCATAGTCAGTGACCAACGACGCATTGCGTTCTCAGAATTTCTGAAGGCAACAATTCCTTTCATTCTAGATGCAGCATCGCGGTTGACTGTTTGCTCTAAGGAAAGGTCAACAGCCGATCTGCTGTAACCTCTATTTGTGCGTCTGATAGAAAAAGCGCCCTTCTCCAGTACTTCACGTAGATTTGGGTCTGCACTCTTCAACTTTTGCAGAAAAAGTGTTCCCCATCTGGCATAATTTGGTCGGTTTAGGGCAAAATACACATTTAGCATTGTCGGGAACAAATCAATGTAGCCACTGACATCATTTGTTTTTACACACCTCTGCAGTTCCCTGTGAAGGCGATTTATCAAGTAAATATATGTTGCCCAGAACCGAGCAGTTGACCCCAGACTTCCATGTAGAACAGATTGAAAGTAATCCTCGTACATCTGCAGGTGGTGGGTGACTACTGGATCTAGTATGTGTTCTTGTGCAAGTGCTGGGTCCAAAGGCACTGTAGACATCACTTGTTCAAAGGAATCATATTCTTCTTCGGGAATGTTAAGAAGAAAGCGTTTGTACAACTTCTGCTCTAATACATTTGCAAGTAGCTCATGAATCCGTGTGCATCTGTTATAGAACTTCCCTTTCATAAACCCGATCATTGGACCTTCGGCCAAGACGTCAGCTTCAGTGAGAATAAATTCCATCCCACTTTCATTTATAAGTGTAACAACAGCTCCGTAGAAAGCCAGCTCGATGTGGAAGTTGCCTAGCATTATCAAAAGCCTGTCAAACAAGGGAGTTTGTATAGCTTGTATTGAATTCAACGCTACAGCCAAATCATAAGTGACAACTGCATAGTCTTGACCTGTTTCCTTTGCAACATTCATTGTCCGAATCATAGTCTCTCTCACCACATCATTGTTTGTTGGTGATCTTGATATTGGATCCATATAGCAAATACGCTGGAGTGGTAAGGGGTCTATAATGTGCTTACTCATGAAGCCAGCATGCAGTGGTGTGTTGCCTTCCCTCATTTTCCAAAACCAATACAAATCCAGTAGCTTTAGTTGTATTTTACAGTTATTGGATTCAGTCAATTCAGATGTTGTACTAGATACTCCTGCCGAGGTGACATCAGTTGCTGCGGCATTACTAAGAAACTTAGCATTATTTAAAGACTTCCTGAATGGTGGTATCTTACGTTCATTCCCAACAAACTTCCGTCGGTTTCTTCCTTCTCGAAATTCTATTGGAATAGTGCTGGTTTGCTGATCACTTTTCAACACATTTTGATATGTGTGGCCAACTGTGGCATGCAGTGTTTCCTTTCCATCGAGAGTTTCCACATTTGCATCATTATTATCCCACACACAGGCTGTCGCTAGGTTCGGATCAAGGCCAATTCCATCCGGAGAATCTCGTTCGTCACTCTCAACTGAATATGCAAATTCAGTCTCAAGACCTTTGGTTTCGCTGTAGCTTATACAGTGTCCCGTTCTATTTAGAATCTGCATGACTACTTTTGATCCTGTGAGGGATGCTAACCCTAGTCCCATGGATGTGTGTTTCCATGGTTTAACAGTACCGTGCGTCACATTGAAAATGGCATCCGATGCCATTGAAATTACCTTTCGATCAACTGTATCATTGTGTGCACCACTGAAACAGGTGTTATTCCAACAAGTAGAGTACTAAAAAAAAAGTCCAATTGAGCTGGTATCTCTGCAGCACATGCCTTTAAATTTTGAACTGTTGTTGGACATGGGGTTCTGGTCTTTGGGATCTGCATGATTTGAGATCTAAGATGAAGAGCAGCCCATCTTAACTTATTATCTTGTTCATATCGTTTGGAGTCCTCCTGAAGGCACGCTTTACCCTGCTCTTCTGACAAAGCAGAACTGTATATAAAGTTTCCCTTCCGAGGATCTGCTAGTTTTACTGTTATTTCTTCTTTAAAACAGTCTCTTACCTTCCTTGTCAAATTTTGCGCTGTATAGTCCTTGATGGCTGCCCTATCTCCCCCAGTACTGGTATAAACCTCTTTGTACATTTCCAGTAAGTCACTAACTAGCAGAGGCCGTTCTTTTTCCACCACCTCACTGTGTATGTAGGAAGTCAAAGAGGAAAATGCCTTCTTGTGATAGGACTGAGAAGAAACAGTTATTGCTTCCGGAGGCAGATCCTGATTATCGGTCTCTCTCAGGAACTGCACACGACAGGACTTGTGGTATTCTGCCTCCTTTGCTATTAGGTCCACATCACTTCGAATAAGACTTTTAATACGTTCATTTTGTGAATGAAGCGCCCTTTGAAAAAGTGACTCGCAACCTGCAAGTGTCGCTACTTTTAATCTTGATTCTTCCTTTCCATTTTTCTTCTTACGACTTTTGCCACAAAAAATGCAAGTCCCTTTCAACAAGCCTTGCTCATCTGATTTGGGAAGAATGCTGGAGCGTCTTGTTCCAATGGAAAATTTTTTTGTGATGGGTTCATCAATAGAAGGTATGTGGTCCTTCGGACGCTTCACTGCAGTGTAATTCTTATGACAAGAGGGGTGATATCTAAGAGTAGAAGCTTCATCACTGCTTATTAAAATCTTTTGTGTGACATGAGAATATTTGTCAGAATGCATTTTTTTACGTAAAGTAGCAGCATTCTTTAATGTTGCCCATGTACTGTCACTAAACTTTCTTTAGTTTGCCATCTTCTCCTTTTGACTTCTGACAGAAGTAACAACTTAAATCAGTATAATCAGCATCATTGCTCTAGAATGAAAATATTGTTAATTGTTAAGTAAAAATATAATGGTCAGAGGATACAGAGTTTTCTGGGAGTTTGCTTGGTATGTGGTATCTTACAATCACTTTCAATTGCGCATTTTGGGTTACATATATACATACCTTTTCATTAACTGTTGCAGGGGATGAACTACATGATGCTTGGGCTGTATCAACCTGCTCCTCTGAAGTCACACACGCTTCTTCAGGACCCATCATCGTGGGTGATTCTCCTAAACCTTCCTTTTCGGAAGGCACACTTGTTTCATCTGGATCCATACTACAAAATGATCTAAAACTAAAAGAATACAATAATACAGTTCCTTGCCACTTCTACATTATAATTTCATAGGCATACTTACTATTGTACCTATCAAAACTAAGTATCCCATGCCAGTACTTTACATCATTTGTATGTGGTGTAGACTGCATACATTTTGTAGGCCAGGTTTTTTTTTTCATTAGGCCTATTTAATAATTAGCCTAATTTCCAAAAAGGTCTAGAAACACTTGATATAATAAATATATAATAATAAATTATTACACTCACCGATAATCTTATGAAGTAGATTTATACTAACTCAATTATGCGCCAAATTCTTCTTATACTTGTGATGTTAAAGTCAAAATAATGCATTCTAGCTGATAACTTGCTATTTGACCAAAGTAAATGCTTGGAATGTTACACAGAGTATGCCTTGCATTTTTCCAGGACATGTCAATAGGTCACTAACCATACTATATATATTGGAGTACAGTATTATAGGGTCACATGAGATAATCTACTTCAGTTGTGGGGGAGTAGTATTAAAGGGGCAGGGGTATTAAGGCAATGTCTGGCAGGTACATCCCACCAGGTCGGGGAGAAAAAGTACAGTTCGTCGGGGAGAAAAAAAATTACATGTATTTTCTACATATTAATAGAATCTAAAATAGATTAAATAAGCCTTCGAGACTACT